AAAATATCCCTCAAATAGGGAAATTACCCACAATCTGGCATCACTGTATAGCGGCCGTTAAGATAAAAAAAAAATTACAAGTAGGCGTATTGAACGCGTATTTTCTTTGATCAATCAGATTTGGAGCGATGAGAAATCACAACTGAATATCGAGACATTGCGAGATGTTTTGTTTGTTGGGTACAACATTAAAATGACTTGTACGGAATTTTTCGAATTCGTAAAGAAGCAGCCTCAAATGCTGAAAGAAATTGGATCAGATGGAAATTACGCGTTAAGGAAAACTACTCAAGATCAATAAATTGATTACATAGGCCGACACTTTTGTAATTTAGCAGCAATTGCATTATTTCAGCTTTGAATGTATGTATGTACCTAAATATTTCTCAATACGCAAAAAAATGTGCTGAAGTTTGTACGTCAAAAATGTGTTTGGATATCGATTAATAAACAGCAATAAAATCGTTTCCAAAACTTTTCTTTCAAACTTTGTGTTGCTACAATCTTTTATGTACGTAAATGAGTTCTTGGAAAAGTGGTCACACTATGTATGTACATTTAAAAACTCATCCGCAAGAGCATTACTTATAAGGACTGTTGCCACTTTGGTACAATTGTACCAAAAATAGACTTTTTTTCTCCGCTTGGGCCATTAAGCCTTGTTTGTTTGTTTGGCGTTGACGAGAGCTATCTGTTTGTGTGATAGCACTCGCTGACGCTTTTCTGGTTGTTCTGTTTATTGTTATCGCCATACTGCAGTAGATTCTGACAATCGCTATGATAATTTTTGATCGCCAAAATTTACTTAAGGAAATGCAGTGAGGCCTATAAGTATACAGCAGGGAAATAATAACTGCAATTTGTAATCAACCAAATCTGGAAGTATGAGGGGTATGTAACTTTGAGTAAGAATTTTTTTTTTTCAGACCTCGGAGGGTCCACCCTCGGAGGGTGAGGGGTGTTGCACGTTTTCTTCTATATAACGCATAATCTGAATCTATTTTTATGTATATGGAAGAAAACGTGCAACACCATCTATACAGCGCATAATCAAATTCTATTTTTATATGGAAGAAAACGCGCAACACCATCCATACACCGCATAATCATAATCAAAATCTATCAGAAAAAAATTCTAAAAAGTCAAAGGTAATTTTTAGCGACTTGAAACTTGCACATTGTTTCACTAGAAATGAACGGGCTACAAAACTGCATACTCAAAAATTTTCTAGAAGTTCTGAATAAAAATGTTGAAACTTTGATAAATTTATTTTTTAACTTTATGAAGATTATATAAAGTACTAGCGGTACCTCGGTGTGCTTCTCTACACCAAATATTGGAAAATTGATGAAAAATCCTGGAATTTTTCTATATGAAGATTTATCATTTGTTTTATTTCAAAATGTTTGATGCTTTATTTTTAATCTTAATCCAACACATTTGGCTATACAACATTTTTTGTTTTTCCATCTTGGGTATGAACAAATAAACAATTTGGAATACCAACTCTTGAACAGGCCACGTATAGCTGTCCGTGCGAAAAGCACGGCTCCTCCAAATTCAATCCGCATACTTGAAGAGTTTGTCCTGGCGCCTTGTTGACGGACATGGCAAATGCTAGACGCACTGGGAATTGCAAACGCGTGGAATCAAACGTCATGTCTGTTTTTATCAGTGGAATACGTGGTATGACCACAATTTCACCTTTAGCTTTGCCAGTCAGTATTGTTGCTTCAACTAAATTCGCCATACATTTTTTTACTGCCAGTCTTGTGCCATTACACAGTTTTGGAGCATTTAAATTCCGTAGTAAAATAATTGATGAGCCGACCTTTAAATTCAAACAATATGGTGGCATACCAGGCGGTTCCATTGAATTCAAAAATTCGACTGAATAATTCACTGCGTCATCTTGATTCATTGCGTTGTCAACAGATTTATATGTTGTCACTTCATATGGCAATTTTTCTAGAATTTGATAATTGATAGAATTGACATGCACATTTTTAGTGCCAGTATTGCGCGTTCTCTCAACCAATCGTGATACAGGTAATTTTGAGCAATATTTGGAAACACGCATTCAATAAATTTTTCTTTTAATTGGAGAATTGTACAAAAATTCTTCGGCAATGTAATCAAGCCATTTGTATTATCGATTCGAACTTTGCCATTTCCGATCTCTAACAATTGCTTCGAGAACCGATCTTCAAATCGATTATTGTGCAATTGAACACACATGTTTATGTGTAATGTCAATTTTTGGCACATATCGCCACAGAGGGGAGACATGAAGCATGCATTGATCTCATCTGCCGGTGTTGATCGTGGAATCACGGGCA